ATAGGTTAATGCTATCGACTACACGCATTTCCCTCTCCCCTTCTCCCTGCCAGTACATTTTTTAGCAGGCTGGCCAGCAGCTTGGCTCAGTCCTGGCTTACGCAGGGTCCGAGACCTATCTCCGTTTCAGCTCTGCACTTCAAGTGTATTAAGAGCCAGGCAGGCGGGCAGGTCGCCTAGCTCAATTCTGGCTCACCCCGGATCTGGGAGCTCAGAGCCCCTTAGACAGAGATTGCTGCCATCTTGCACTTCTGCCTCTTTCTCAGAAGCAGCTGGTCCGCGAGGGGAGCTGCTTTTTAAACTGTCTCCCCTCGCGGACTAGCTCCAACCTGGCACCCCACCCTGCTGCCGGCCCCGCCCCCAGGGACTATAGACTAGTCGACTAACCAATACAATTTCATGAGGTTACTCGACTATTGAATTAACCAATGTTTAACACCCCAATCCCACAGCACGGGCGGTGTCTTGGAGAGCAAATCGCTGATGTTCAAGTTGTTTGTGGCCCTAGGGAAGAGAAGACGAAGCTGCTGGGCTCAGGATAAGTAATCAATCCCAGTACTGAGTAATAACTAGGGATGCGAAAGGTTAACCGGTTAACCTCTAGGCATCACCCTACATGGCTAATGCTTACTGGTTCTGGTTAACCAGTACGCCATGGGGGCTGGGGCTGCTCCAGACTCACAGGGGGCTCGCTGCGGACAGGGGCTGCTTTTGTCCGGGGCAGCCCCTGTCTGCCACAGGACTGGGCACGCCACAGGCAAGGGCTGCTCCGGTGGGGGGCTGGGAGCAGGCAATCAACCCCAGTGCAGGACTGGGAGGGGGCATCCTGAGGGCGGGGGACTGCTCTAGCTAGAGTGGTCCCCAGCCCAGATCCCACTTAGTTGGTTAATCAGTGAAATGTTAGGCTGACAACGTTTAACTGATTAACTGGGATTTTACATCCCTAGTAATAACAAGATTATCTGGGCATACAGGTTCAACGTAACATTTCACCAATTAACTGATTAAACAGGATTTTACATCCCTATTCGCACCATCTCGGAAACTGTACACAGCCCCATCTTGCACAACGGACTTTTCCTCTGGCACCTCCCAAACACACACACACACACACACACACACACACACACACTCCCTCCCCCAAAGGGGAAAAGCGGGGGAAGAGCTAAGTCGATATCAGAGACACACACTCACCTTAAAACCCACAGGTGATGCCAAAACAAGCTGCTCTAAGAATGCTCTGCTCAGTTACTATGGTGAGGGGAGCCATCCTAAAAACCCTAGATGGGCTCTAGAATAAAACATACGGTTTTATCTCTGCATCTGGCAAGCTTATACCCGGCCCAGAAACCTGCCAGAGCAGAATCTCGCCAGAAGTAAAGCTTATGAGAACCATGCATCATGGCTGTTGCTTCAGAAGTGCCTAGAAACAGTCGTGTGCGAGTGGCATTCTGGATAGAAAGCGCAGCACAAGGTGCCTGGATCGTAATCTCTCCGAGAAGCTCAAATCTCATCTCTTACACAAACAGCCACGTGTTTCACTTTAGCTTATAACTGATCCTGATTGCAAGAAGCAAATTAAGACAGCAGAGTCTCCTTTTAATTACAGCCACTTGTGGGGACAGGGGAATCAACCAACAGTGGTTAGAGATGTGCCGCTCAACACAGAACAGTAATTAACTTCGTATTACATTACAAAAGATATACACGGCATTCATTTTTTCACCAATACTAGCGACCCACCTTCTACTGGCAGACACAGGAATGGGTCTTTTTTCACAGCTACTGCACAGAGAGGGATGAATCCTATTAACAATTAATACAGAGAAGAGACCTGAACACCTTGGGAGGTCTCCTGGCAGTTAATGGAATGCAGGCACTACTCAGAGTGTTTGTAAGATCGAACCCATATGCAGGGTATTAAAGGGATAATTTCTAACCTGAAATGATCTAAAAAACCCCACACATACAAGGATGTGTGTTAACAGTTATATCTAGCAGCATTAAAACTGAAGAGAGCTTTTAATGGCAAATTGCCTTCTTCAATTTTTGCATTTCTTTTCATCTGGACAAATAAAAGAGAACTAGTCAATTTCACTTTTGTTTACAGGCAGTGTGGCTGTTGCTGGGTTGATCCTAGGATATTAGAGAGACCAGGTGGATGAGGTAATCTGTTGATGTGAGAGACAAGCTTTGGAGCTTAACTATGTAAGCTTGAAAGCTTCTCTATTTTACCCCCAGAAGTCAGGCCAGTAAGAGATATTACCTCACCCATCCTGTCTCCTTTCAATAACAGGTATTACTAGTCAATTTCACCTTTGGATGTCACAAACTATCAGAGGGACGGATAATAAACAGCCCGGATGGGGTTTGTCAGGATTTGCCCCTGGTGGACCACCAGACACCACATTCACCCGTGTCTGTAGGTCTGGCTGCTCACATCTCCCGTTGGCCACAGCTTGAGCAGATGTATGAAGCATCTGGCAGCCCACCAGGGGCTAACCCTGGCAAACCCCATCCAGCCTGCAGGCTCTTCATTACCCATTCCAGCACTACCACGATGCTATTTTTGGATTGCCGTTCTGCAGGGGAATGTTTAGCGTTAAAAAACAAAAACTGTTTCCGCTGGACTTTTCAGAACCATTCTACTGGGTCTGAGTAGAAGGTTCATGGAAAGCTTCACGGGAAGTCCTTACAAGCCCAGCTTTTGGTTCAACTTCAGTTCAGCAGAGAAGACGACTGCCTTGTGCTTAACGCTCTGGCGTGAGACTCAGAGACCATAACCTCAATTCTATACCCTGCCACAGACTCCGTGTGTGACTGAGGGCAAGTCTCATAGACCCAGATTATCAGTTGTTTAGGAAGAGAACTCATTCCCAGGGTTTAGGAAGCTAACTCATGGCAAAATCCACAAAGGTTAGGTGCATAAATAGCTTGGAGAATCCGTTCCTGAACTTCTCTGGGCCTCCGCTCCACATCTGTAAGATGAGGATAACAATACTTTGGCGTGGGTGTTTTGTGGGGAGAAATTCAGTGATGTTCCTGAAGTGCAGTGAGAGGAAACTATGCAAGTATTAGGGATGGGAATGGTTAACCAGTAAGCATCACGGTTTATGGTTAATTGTGAGCTGGAGCAGTCATCTGCCTGCTGTGGGCAGGAGGCTGTTCCAGCCCTGAGGGACAAGCCATGGGCGGGAGGCACTCCAGCCTAGCCATATCAGCTTCCACCTGCAGCAGGGGGAGGAAGGCCGCACCAGCCCCTCAGCCCCATTTAATTGGTTAACCGGTTAACAATAAAGTTTAACTGATTAACCAGGATTTTACATCCCTAGCAATTACACAGGCAGACAGACATGCACTATTGCTTTTAATAGCTCTACCAGGAAGAATTCAACTGAGTACCAAGTCTCTTTACTTTCAAGCTATTTGGCTTTGCTTGTGCAGAAACAGAGAGATAGCCACTACCTGTCAGTCAGTGGGAGGAGACAGAGGTAAGACTCCACTGCTGATTAAAAACGTCTGATGACATTGCTTCGATAGGACAGCCTTATGACCCTCTGGAAAGGAATGCTCTTAAATAACGTAAGTATGATTAGAATCATAGACTACTAGGACTGGAAGGGACCTCAAGAGGTCATTGAGTCCAGTCCCCTGCCCTCATGGCAGGACCAAATACTGTCTAGACCATCCCCGAGGATTAGCAAAATTCCTCTACATCAGACAAAATTCCTGCCCATTCGACAAGTCCTCTAGGAAGCAGATGTTCCCTTGTTACAGTTCCCAGCAGAGATTACAGAAAAGCAATGGCTGAATGAAAATGCTGCCTCCTTTGAGAAAATAATGACCATGAGGAACATACATTAAGATTAAATCAGTCGTTCATGGCTGCATTTCTGGGACAACATGCTAAGTATGCCACTTTTGTGAATGTTTACATTAAAATTAAGCACAAACCATTAATTTTAATGTACCATAGTAATAACTGAGTTTTTGTTAATAGCAAAAAGCTATTAAATACACAACTTGGGAACCCAGCAGAAATTCTGTTTAGTGGCGCCAGTTTAACAAGTGCATTTACAGGCTTTGGAAAGAACAATACTTTGCATTTCCATACAAGGATCTGAGAATGTTTTACAAACATTCTTCCAGTAAAACTCACATGCCCCTGGGAGGAAGGTATTTTAATACCTCTTTTATAGATGGGAAAAATTGGGCACAGAAAATGCTGGGTGACTGCCACAAGGTCCTGTAGTAAACAAAGTTTTGTCTACACTCAAACTATCACCCAGTTAATTAAACTGGTTTAGCTAAGCCAGTGCTACATGGACACCAGTTTACCCAAACTGGTTTAAAATCAAATCTCAAACTCTAAAGGCAAATGCCTGCCCATGCAGAGCAGGTCGCAGAACTGGACATCCCCTCTCCTCAAAAAAAGGCATGATAAATGTGTCCTGGATCAAATTCTTCATGGCAATGCCACTGAATTGTTGGGTGACCTTGGGCAAGTCACTTCAACCCCCGTACTTCAGTTTCCCCATCTTTAAAATGGGAGTAGTAATACAGACCTCTTTTGTAAAGAGCTTTGAGATCTACAGACTGAAAGGGCTAGACAAGGAGCAAGGTATTATTATTATAAATGGTCCGCACAAGAACAAGTGTTCCACCCTACAGTAGTTGTGATTGCAATAGGTGACCTTTCAGTTAGTATCAGTGCCATCCCAACAGGGAGCTAACAGACTTGCCAGCCCCCTTGGCAAGTTGGGAGGGGCTCCGTGCTCCTGGAAGGGGCAGGGCCTCAGGTGGAAGGGGTAGGGCTGGGACAGCCAGCCCTCAGTGCCGCCCAGACCGCCCTCCATCCCCAAGTAGCTCTCAGGGATGCCTGGAGCACACCGCATGGCCCTCCAGCTGGGATTTAAAGTGCTCGGGGCCCTTTTGAACGGCCAGGGAACTGCCCACTTGACTCCCCCCCCCATCAGAGGACTTGCACCCCAAGTACCTACCTCCAAGTGATTCTGGACTCCGAGTACAGGCTGGTCAGACAACGTCTTCATGACGCCACTGCAGAGCAAAAGATAATCAACAGTTATTAGCCACAGTCAGGGAACCCCAACCTTCAACGAATGGCTGAACGCAGGCTATCATCATCCACCTTCAGCTGGGTACCGGGGCTACAGCAAAACAAGGTACCCGGCCGATCATCAGCTTCTCCATCAAGTGAATTGGCTTGGGACTGAGGTCCAAGGAATTCAATATCTAAAACGTAACCCAGGATCACATGCTACCTTTCCCTTCTATGCACAGGAGCAGAAAGCAGGAGGAGCTGGCTGCAGGGAGGGAGGGAGCCAAAAATAAGGGTGCTCTCCCCCCACCTTCTCCTGCAAAGAAAGGGCTTTGCTTGTTTAAATGCAGGAGAAGCAGAGTCTCCTGATTATTGATTATCTCAAAATTCAGGGGAATTTGAGGAACCGATAACTTTTACTAGCCTGGCTTAACCCTCCGCTGCATAAGCCTGACCCAAAACCCATTCAAAGCTAGAGCACCGAGCTAGGACTTCAGTTCCAATCCCCCCTCTGCCACAGACTTCCTGTTAGGAATGTAAAATCCCATTTAATTCGCGAACTGGTTAAACATTAAGTTAACCGGTTAACAGGGGTAGGCAGGGGAGTCACTCCAGAACGGCCCCCATGCGACGGACAAGGGCTACTCTGGCCCGGCTGCTTCCCATCCCACGCTCAGCTGCTGGACTGCCCCCGGGTAACAGTTAACCATTGCCTGGTAAGCATCACCCATTAAGGTTAACCGGTTACCTGTTCATGTCCCTACTGGCTGCTGCGGGCTGCGCAGACATACCCTTAGGGATAGATTTTTTTAACATAGTTGGACGTCGACAGATGCTGTTGAAAATCCCAGTAAGTACCTGTCCCTACTGGCTGCTGCGGGCTGCGCAGACATACCCTTAGGGATAGATTTTTTAACATAGTTGGACGTTGACAAATGCTGTTGAAAATCCCAGTAAGTACCCGGAATTTGAAGGAAGAATGTTCTTTCTTTGACTTTCTGCAATGTAGACAGCGCCAAAGTCAAGTTAAGCTATTTCGACTTCAGCTACGCAATTAACGTAGCTGAAGTTGCGTATCTTAATTCAGCTTTGTCCCACAGTGGAGACGTACCCTAAAGGACTACAGAAAGGACCTTTAGATCAATGGTAGTCATGCCAAACACATCCCAAGGCTGAGAAGACAGGTATTGAAACTGCCTGATCTAAAAGCTTTGGAGACTTTGGAAGTGTTTGCTATTTATAACAAGAGGTGCAAATTTGCACAAGCAGATGCAAAGATTTTGAAATATTTCACAGCTGTTATATACTTTCTCTAGCACTTTTTGAACTTAAATTAAGCATGAGCATTTTGCTAAACTGAAGCTATAGTTAGCTAATGGCAGAATGGGGAATAAAACTCAAACACCAACTAAGCCTCATGCAGCTTCTGCTCTCTTGGAATTCGCACCTCCAGATCAGCTACTAGAAGTGGGCCTCATCTTCCCTGATTGGATCCACCTCGTCATCTCCAGACTGATCCTGGCCTGCATATTTATACCTGCCTCTGGAAATTTCCACTACATGCATCTGACGACCTGGGTCTTTGCCCACGAAAGCTTATGCTCCTACACTTCAGTTAGTCTATAAGGTGCCACAGGACTCCTCGCCGCTTTTAGACACCCAAACACCTTTTAAAAATTGACCTTTGGTTTCTCTCTGCTCCACTTTTCCACTCTCTCACAAAGGTGCAAGGACAAAAGCATTCAACATTGTCAAGTGCTCAAATACTCCAGTTACAGAGGCCCAACGAATATTTTAGATAGACTGTCATTGACTTTAATGGGCTTTGGATCAGACATCAATACGGTGCACTGAAGTAAAATACATCTCTATACATATATTTTACCGTGAGACGGTCTGCCAGTCTGTTTGATCAAGAATTCCTCCTAAACAGTAAGAGCTAGGGCCACCAAATTTGGTTTGTAGCTTCCTCTTATCCTAACTTAATGCAAGGTCAGGGTTTGGTTGCGCCAGGAAAACGGGAAGTGCAGGGAATGGGACTGTTTTCCAGAACACAGAAAGTAAGGAGGGGCTGCTGTTCAGAGGGGTGCAATACTGTAGAGTGACCACTGGGGGGCAGTGAGCGTAGGGGAGAGCTATATGCAGAGTGACCAGTGGAGGCAGCTGCACCACCACCAGTGGAGGCAGCTGCTTGTCATCTTACCTGCACCAGATCAGTTAAGTGAAACCCCTCCCCTGAACCTCTTCCCCCTGGCTGCAGTGCTGGGTCAGGGGTGGGAAAGAGAAAAGGCCCCTGCCTGCCAAGGGGGAGGGGGAGAGCTCAGGGAGAGCCCTCCAACTTTCACTCTTGCATTCCCCCCCGCCTCCTGCCCTACCCCCCCATGCACATCTCCAAGGCCCTTTTCTGACTCATGACTCCCCTCCCCCGCCCCCCAAACTGCCAGCCTCCTGCCCTGAAGGCCCCGGGCAATGCCAGATAGATCTTCTAGTTCATTTATATAATGTTTTCCTACCACTATATGCTGCTAATTTAGTCAGGCCCTTATTTAAAAAGCAATTAAGCACATGCATAATCTTAAACATGTGCTTATGTCCCCTGATTTCAAGGGCTCTTGTTTACTGAACTGTATTGAATTGGGGGCCACATGACCAGGAGTCAAAGTTTTACAAAGACTTCTTAACAATTCACATTGGATAGAGTTTGCTGCTCCTAGCTACAGTAATTGTGCCATTAATAATAATGGCCTAATCTGATTATAGCCAAAGAACAATATTTAAGCAGCAGATGCAGACATGAACCTATGACTATCGTTTTAACAACAGATGACAATTGCATCTCTTATTTCAGTTATTCCTTCTCCATTCTGCTTTCATTGTCTGCCCAATAGAATGTCTCACCGAGAGTTAAAGAGAGACTCACACAAAGGGGAAGAAAAGAAAAGCAAAATAATGCAATCTCAGCTGTCAAACTGGATTATGTGGCATATCCAACATTCAAACGCTCCCCGCAAATATCAAATGGCCCCTTTCCCGTGTCTAAAGAAGTTTATCTGCCTTAGTCCTCTGCATCCTTCACAGATGAAAGGAAATGGTAAAATACAACACACTGCATTTTTAACAGCTGTAAATTATTTTGCTTTCCATAGAAACCCCAATCCCAACTTTTCTCCTTGTTCTCTAGCCAGGCCTTGCTCAGCCACCATCCCATTTACAGAGGAACCACCATGATGGATCACACCGGATCCATCCTTAGCTACTGAGATTTTCTCCTCTCTGGTCATCCTGCTTTCCCCTTGCTCCCCCCCATGATGTCCGCACACAATCCTGCCAAAAGCCACTTTCCTTCCTCCTACAATGCTCTACTCACTTCACACTCTTCTCCGAGTCTCCTGCAGCGGGGATGCCACAGAAATTAGATCACTTCACACTCTTCTCCGAGTCTCCTGCAGCAGGGATGCCACAGAAATTAGAGATGTTAAAATGCATTTATTTTTGTAAACATAATGGAAGAAAATTTCAGCAGTTACATGTTTACATGGGGGGGAGAGGAAGGGGAGGGAGGAAGCAGGTGGGAGCTGGTGCTCCCAAAGGTAGTTAGGAGGGTAAGACAGGGCTCCACAGGAGACGGTACATGTTTGAAAGTCGGCTCCCTGTGCTTACTGGGTTCCACGGAGCTGCCTCCCACCCATCCCCTGCTTCCATGCTGCTGCCTCTGATACAGAGGCAGCAGCGTGGGGGGAGGGGAGAGGAGTTTGCATGTAACGGTGTACATGAGAACATATTCAACTCCTAGCAGAAATTCAGCCTAAGGTACCTTGACTCCAGCTATGCTATTCTTGTAGCAGGGTTACATATCCTAGGTCAATTTTCTCAAGGTGAAACTGTTCTGGATGGTGCAGAAATCAACCTACATGGACCCACTCACTGGATCAGGGCCTCAGTCTGTCTCCATTGATTCAAATGGAATTACTCTGGATTTACACCAGTTTGAGATCAGAATCTGGATCTTTTTTTTTATCCTCCAAGGGAAAGGTGTTGTCCTTCCTCCATCAATATCTACAGCTAGGGACTGAGGGAGGAGGGACCCAGGACAAAATATTCCTCCACCCCAAACTATGTGCCCTCCAGTTTCAATTTCTACCCCCCCACGTGATGTATTCCTGCTCTCCTTCCCCTCTGTATTCAAACACATCACTAATATTTACCATAAAGACAACGCATTATTTACCTTCATGATGCGTATGTTGTTTTTTTACCTCCCACTCCACTATGACAGAAAGCAAGTGTGAAAAATGAGGGCATTTTTATCCCCCTGATGGAAGGGGTGATAGTCGAGTATATAACCCTGCAAATTCATGGACATCCGCGTTATATCCGCAGGTATCTGCGCCCACAGCCATGGATGCGGATGCAGCTCATTTTTAATCCGCAGGTATCTGCGCCCACAGCCATGGATGCAGCTCATTTTTAGATTCAGATTTTGTATCCATGCAGGGCTCTCTATGTACGATAATGCCCCTACTATCAGGGCATCTGGTCACCCTGCACCCAACCCTAGGATAGTACAGGTCACTTGTTTTCACACCACCAGTTCGGGAAGGTAACATTCCACATCCTAATGACATTAAAAAACCATACACATTCCACATCCTAATGACATAAAAAAACCAAACTAATGCTGGGTACATAAGAACAATTTGCAACTCCTCTATCAGCTTCAGGTAGCACGGAGACTATTTATTTCCCTCCCCCCCCCCTTTCTCTCCCTTTCTTTCCCCCTATTTATTTCAAAACTGGGCCTTTAGTAACTCCATTCATCTGAAGAAGCAGCTTGCACCCACAAAAGCTGGTGATGCCATCTACATGTTTTCTCTGTCTCCAAGGTGCCGCAAACTATTTGTTTGTTTGTTTGTTTTTTTTAACAGCAAATAGTCTAGCAGCCCCTTGGAGGCGAACCAAGATGGCATCACCAGCTTTCGAGGGCACAGCCCACTTCTTCAGAGGCCTGGAGTATTAAAAGTCCAGATCCGAGCATAAGGAAGGGACGGAGGCTGTTCCAGTGACAGACCACGCGGCTACCCCCTGCAGCTTTCTTTAGGGTACCTACCTATATTTGGTCCCCCAGTACTGAAAGAAAACTAAGTACCGCGTGGGGGGCGAGCTCATGGCTGGCTTCCGAAAGCTCTCGCTTAGCGAGCTCGGCTTGCAGCCCAGGCGCGCGCGGCAGCGACACCTTCCCTCGCTCCGGATTGAAACGGGTTTGAGCCCCTCCCCCCTCCAGAGCTGCTCTTCCTCCCTGCCCCG